GATCCTACACCAATGGATCCCACACCAGGAGATCCCACACAGAGGGATCCTACACCAATGGATCCTACACCAATGGATCCCACACCAGGAGATCCCACACAGAGGGATCCTACACCAATGGATCCTACACCAATGGATCCCACACCAGGAGATCCCACACAGAGGGATCCTACACCAATGGATCCTATACCAATGGATCCCACACAGAGGGATCCTACACAGAGGGATCCTACACCAATGGATCCCACACCAGGAGATCCCACACCAGGGGATCTAACACAGAGGGATCTGACACCAATGGATCCCACACTAATGGATCCCACACCGATCCCACCCGATCCATGCCTCCCTTCCCAGGGCTCCCCACCTGGCACAGGTCTCAGCCCACATCCCACATCCCTGAATCCTCCCTCCACCTCATCCCAAGCTCTCGGGGAGGGGGGAGTCTCCATGGAGACGAACAGCAGCGTTTCCCTCTGCCCAAATCCCACCTCCTCGTCCCCCCCCTGCTCCCACCACACCAGTGGCACTTCCAGGTGGGAAAAACCTTTTGGAGAGCCCAGGAGGCAGGAGGAGGCCCAGGGAGGAGTCCCAGGCTGCTCCCAAGGGGCACCACGGGATGCTGGGGCAGGAGGAGCCCAGGAGGCACCAGGGGTTGTGCTCGTGGAGATCCATGGCCTTGGAATTCAGCCCGTTCTCCAAGAGCAGCCTCCCAAACTCTGGGCCCCAAAAGGCCCATTCCTACCCCAAAAGGCCCATTCCTACCCCAAAAGGCCCATTCCTACCCCAAAAGGACCCCCAGAGCACCAAGGGCTGTGCTTTCAGATCCCTCACAGCTCTGCTCCATCAGCTCCAGGTGCCTGACAACCCTCCCAAATCCCACCAGGCAGCATTTTCCGTGCCTCGGATCCCGGAAAAGCAGCAGAGACGGGATCTATCCGGGATCAAGGAGCGAGGGGACCGTGTTCACCCACCACCACAGTGCCCTTGGAGGTGCCAGGGCTGGAATCCCTCTCTGGGCTCCGGCTTTGGCTCCGTGGTGCCCGGGAACAGCCCGGGAACAGCCCGGGAAGGGCAGGGATGGTCCCTGGTTTCCTCCGAGGCCCCTTCCCGAGGATCCCGGCCGGACAATAAAGCCATAAAGGATCTGCCACCCGCTCCAGCCCTCGGAAAACACAACTGAAATCTGAAAATGAAGCCCGACCCAAGACGTGGGGCCGATGCAGCGCTGCCCAGACGCCGGGAGATGGGCTCTCCCCCCCTTCCCAGCCCCCCTCCGGCCCCATTGTCTGCGAGCTGGTGAAAACAAGGAACCACATTGGATCATTCCAAAGGCTGGAGGGAGCCCAGACGGAGCACGGGGGGTGCTGCCCGGCCCCGTTCCCACAAAGGGGGCTGCCCGTGGCACACGGTGACCCTCACCCCCAAACCGGCCACCTCACGGGCCCCCGGCCAGGCAGGGATTCACCGGCGGCTCGGCTGCTAATTAAATCATCCAATCTCATCCCGAGCTTCCCCCCCCAGGCACAAAGACACCGGGAATACACGGGAGAAACCCGGGGATCACATCTGAGCCAGGCTGCCTCGGAGCCCAGCTCGGTCCCAGCACAATCCCCAATTGCTGTGATTAAGCACCAGCCGTCCCCAGAGGCTCCGTGAAGATAATATTTAATTCTTATTCTTCTTTTTTTTTTGCGTTTTTTTTTTTTTAACCTCCACCGAGGCCTGGGGGCGGGTGGTGGTGGTGGTAAAAAA